TTCTATTTTTAAAAATCTGTAAATGAGTTTGTTTGAAATGTTTTATAAATGATTTTCAAAGAAACCTGCAAGTCCAGATGGAATCACTGGTAAATTCTAACAAACATGTTAAGAACAATAGCACCAAACCCAAACAATCTTTTTCCAAAAATAGAAGTGGATGGGTCACTTCCCAACCATTGTATGAGGCCAGCATTATCTTGATATCAAAACCAGGCAAAGACATTATAGGAAAAGAAAGCTATAGACCAACGTGTCTCATGAGCATAGATATAAAAATCGTAAAGAAAATATTGGAAAATCAAATCGAGCACATATAAAAAAGATAATACACTAAAGCCATGTAAGGTTTATTCTGAGAATGCAAACTGGATTGACAACTGAAAATCAAATCAGTGTAATTTTCCATATCAAGGGCTTAAAGAAAAAAAACGGTGTTATCATCTCAGTAAATGCTGAAAATTATTTGATAAAATTCAACATTCATTCCTGAAAAAATACTCTCAGAAAATTATGAATTAAAAGAAATTCCTTAGCATGATGAAGGACATTTACAAAAAACTTGATTCATTGTACTTAGTGGTGAAAGGCTGAATGCTTTTCCTGAGAGTTATAGAACAACACAAAGATATCCTTTATCAGCATTCCTTTTGCAGTGTCATATTGGATGTCTAGTCAATGTTGTAAGACAAGAAAAAGAAATAAAAGGTATACGGATTGAAAAGGAAGACATAAAACTGTCTCTATTCATAGATGGCATGATTTTCTACTTAGAAAATTCTAATTAATCTACAAAAAAGCTTCTAGAACTAAGAGGGGAATTTGGTAGGATCATAGGATACAGACAAATATGCAGAAATAAGTTGTGTTTCTATATACTAGCAATGAAGAACTAGAAATGAAAATAAAACAAAAACAGTATTATTTACAATAGCATCAAATAACATGAAGTAATTAGGCGTGAATAGCTATAACATAATATGCACAGGATCTGTTTGTGGAAAACTATAAAACACTGATAACAGAAATCAAAGATCTAAATAAATGAAATTATATATTATGTTAATGTGTTGGAAGACTCAATATTGTTAAGACATCACATCTCCCCAAATTGATCCATAGATTAAACATATTCTCAAGGAAAACGAAACACTAGTTATTTTTTCTAAAATTTATATGGAAAATTAAACAACCTAGAATAGCCAAAACAATTTTGACAAAGAAGTACAAAGTTGGAAGATTCATATTACCTAATTTCAAATATAAAGCTATAGTGATTAACGAAGTGTGGTATATATGGTGAGAGGTACATATCTAGTTTCATTCTTCTGCATATGGATATTCAATTTTGCCAGCACAACTTGTTGAAGAGGAAGTCGTTTCCCCAATGTAGATTTTAGTTGCCATTGTCCAATATCAGATGGCCGTAAGCCTGAGGAGTGATATCTGGGTTCTGAATTCTCCACTGGTCTGAGTGTCTATTTCTATAACAGTACCATGCTGCTTTGGTTACAATGGCTTTGTAGTATAATTTGAAGTCAGGTAGTGTTATGCCACTGGCTTTATTTTTTTTGCTCAGGATTGCTTTAATCAACTCAAAACAGATTAAAGAGTTAAATATAAGACCTGAAACTGTAAAATTACTAAGGGTAAATATAGGTGAAACACTTCAGGAATTAGGTCTGGGCACAGACTTCATGAACGTGAGCCCAAAAGCACAAGCAGCAAAAGAAAAAGTAAACAAATGGGACTATATCAAACTAAAAATCTTCTGCACAGCAAAGGAAACAATCAATGGAGTGAAATGACAACCTACAGAGTGGGAGAAAATTTTCACTAACTATGCATCCAACAAGGGATTAATATTCATAATATACAAGGAATTCAAGCAATTACACAGTAAAAATCAAATAACCCAAGTGAAACATGGGCAAAGGAGCTGAATAGACATTTTTCAAAGGAAGACATACAAATGGCCAGCAGCTACATGGAAAAATGCTCAGCATCACTAGTCATCAGGGAAATGCAAATTAAAACTGCAATGAGATACCATCTCACCCCAGTTAGACTGGCTATAATCAAAAAGATGGTGAATAACAAATGCTGGCGAGGGTATGGAGAGAAGGGAACATTACGGCACTGTTGGTGGGACTGTAAATTAGTACAACCACTATGGAAAACAGTATGGAGGTTTCTCAAACAACTACAGATAGATCTTCCAAATGATCAAGCAATCCCACTTCTGGGTTTCCACCCAGAGGAATGGAAATCATCATGTCAAAGGGATACCTGCACTCCCATGTTCATCACAGCTTTGTTTACAATAGCCAAGAGCATGGAACCAACCTAAATGTGCATCGATGGATGATTGGATAAGGAAACTGTGGTATATATACACCATGGAATACTACTCTGTCATAAAAAAGAATGAAATACTCCCATTTGCAACAACATAGATGAGCCTGGAGAAACTTATTTGAGTGAAATAAGCAAAGCACAGAGGGATAAATACTGCATGTACTCACTCATAAGAGGTAGCTAAGAGAGAAAGAAGGAAGGAAAGAAAGTCCACAGTGGTACATTGGACTTGTAGAGGGCGAGAACATTCCTTGGACTACAAAGCAGTATGGGGGGAAAAGGGGAGGGGGAGAGGTTGGGGATAATTGGGTTGGGGACGTCAGGTACAAACACAATTTGTGGTAAGGTGCATGCTGCCAGTATAGATCTGGACTTCACCTCTGGGCACGAGGGGTGACAATCAGCTTTGTATCATTAATATTCATAACCAATATAAAAAAAGGATAGTGTTGTATATGTGAAATAGAGATATCGATCAATGGAACATAATAGGGAATCAGAGGTATACCCACATGTTTGATTTTTGACTTAGTTGCAAAGGCAATTTCAATTCAAAAATAAGTCTTGTCAACAAATGGACTTGGTCATTCATATGCAAAAATAAAAAATACAAACAAGCAAATAAAACAAATGAACCTCAACCTATACTTCATACTTTGTACAAAAATTGAAGTCAGAATGAATTATAGACCTAAACATAAAACCTAACATGATAAAACTTCAACAGAGGTATGCAAACTTTTTCTGTAGAGAACTGGATCAGATAGTTTTTCTCACATATTGTATTTTATTTTACAACTCTCTAAAAATGTAAAAACTGTTCTTAGTTCATGGGCATTATAAAAACAGGCCTATAAGCCAAACTTAGCCCATCATCCCTTGTTTTATATGAAAGCATAGAAGAAAATCTTTTGATTTTTGTTACATAGAACACCAAAAGAACAATCCATAAAAGATTAAAATTTGACAAATTGGATTTCATTAAAATTAATATACTTTATTTTTTATATATAAAATTTTATGTACATGAATACATTTATTTGATATATAGAGATTTCCTATAAGAATATTTAGAAGTCATGCATTTATTATATAAATATGTCTTAAGAAGTTTGCATAATTTTCATTTCCTTTAGCTATGTGTTTTAGTAAATATGCCACCCTTTTAAATTACTTCTTTTAATGTTCAACTGTATTCAACTCTTCAGTCATTTTTAAAAATTAAATATACTTTCATATCATATATCTGACTTGTAGCCAGAATATATAAAGAACTCTTAAAATTCAAGAATAGGAAAACAAACAACCAAATTAAAAAAATACATTTGGAAAAACAGACAAACGATAATGATTTCAATAGATACTTTGCCAAAGGTATCCAAATGGCTGATAAGCACATGCTCAATGTAATTAGTCATCTGGGAAATGTGAGGTAAAACCACAATGAGAAATCACTACATAACTATTAGAATTATTTTTTAAAAAGAAGGAAAACTGACAATACCAAATGCTGTCAATGATGCAGAGTAACTGTAACTCTCATACATTACTAGTTAGAATGCAAAATGGTATAGCCATTTTGAAAAACAGTTTGGCAATTTCTTATGTAGTTAAACACAGCCTTACCACATGACACAGCAACCCCATTCCTAGGGATTTACCCCAGAAAAATGTGAAGCTTTACACAAAAACCCGTAGGTCAGTGTTCACAGCAGTTTTATCCGTACTCACCAAGAATTGAAAAGAGCCCAATGTCCCTCAAATGGAAAGATTAATAAAATGTAGCATATTCATGCAATAGAATACTAACCAGCAATAGAAAGTAACAAACTGCAGATACACACAGCATGGATAGCTCAAAAGCATTATATTAGAGTGAAAGAAGACATTCTCGACAGTCTAAATATTGTTTGATTTTCTTTATTTGACATTCTGGAAAAGGAAAAACTATAAGACATAAAATAGATCATGGGTTGCCAGGAATTGGGATGTTGGAAGGGGTTGATTGCAATCAGGCACAGGTACCTTTTTGGGTTGATAAAACTGTCCTATATCTTCATTTTAGTGGTGGTTATATGACTGTATGCATTTTTCAAAACTTAAAATGTGCACTAAAAAGAGTGAATTTTAGTACATGTAAAAATTTTTTAAAGTGGACATAATAGAGGGACGAACAGAAGATAGAGAGGAAGACAGTGAAATTTCTGTGTCAAAGAGATGTTTCACTGATGATGGGAGAGGCTTGAACATGTTTATAGGCCACGACCTTGAGTTAGTAAAAAAGATGTTGAAGTTTACCTTAAAATACAGGTAACTTAAAAATATATTTAAATTTATAAATAATTGCCCAAGATGAATTACGAGTAGAAGGAATATGTGGTTTGTAATCTTTTGTACTCTTTTGTGAGGTTGATTTAGTACTGAAGTTGAGTGCCCAGCATATGTTAAATTATCAGACTGGAAGATTCCCTGTTCTCTGTTCTGGGTACTTACTTATGTGTACTTTTTTTTGCTGAGTGAAAGGCCAGTTATTCAAGTTCCCTGCTTAATATGATGTGCCTTTTTACATGGGTATTGTTGTTCCTAAGGACTAATGACTCAGCTGTTGTTTTTAATATGTAAACTATATTTATTTCTTAAAGGTGATGTTGGACCAAATGGACAACCTGGGCCAATAGGACCTCCTGGGCTGCCAGGAATAGGTGTTCAGGGACCACCGGGACCACCAGGCATTCCTGGGCCAATAGGCCAACCTGGTAAGATTGGAGTAAATGTGCTGTGTGAATAATTTTTGTAAAAGTGAAAAAGTACTGGTTACAGCATAAGAGCTACTTTAATCCCTGATATTTCCCCTCCCTGTTCATCTAAAATTGATCTATTTCCAATAGTGCAATTTAACAATTGCAGTGTGTTGCCGTTGACATATAATCACTGACCTAGACACAGTCCTGAAAGCATAGACTTAAAAACTTTTAGTGCTGATCATTTCAGACCTGAGTAGCTGTACAAGATTAATAGGGCTTTGTCTTGAAACCTCTTAACATAAGAACTAGAGTTAGGCTTTGACAAAAATGTTCTATAAAAATGTACTTTAGGCATTCTCATTTCCTTTTCTTTTAAAAAAAAATTAAATGAGTTGATTTTTTTCCTTTTTTGTCCCCAAACCAGCAATCACTTTGCAACTCATTAGCACTCTAAACATTTTTTATTGGACAGTCAAAAAGGTTTTATCAACATGTAACCTAATAGATTTGCCCCCATAGACAGAGAATCATATGATTTGTCTTCATCTGTGTGAGAGCATATCGAGTTTGTAGATTCTCAGCTGTCTGATGATGTGAATTCTTATTATCTTAATCTAGGCAGGAACAGTAAGGGCTGCCTGGGGCCGGTATTATGTTAATGCAGAGTACTGTAATCATTCATAAAATTAAAACAAATATAGAGAATTTTATTGTTCCTTAATTCACAAGAAGACATCAGAAGGTTTAAACACACACTTCAGATTTGCATACATTACTTTGAAGCAATGGAAATGTGTTTTCTGACCTTAAATGGCAATAGGTATTTTTTTAGTTATTATGCTAAGAATCTAGAAACACTGTTTAGCAGCATAAAAAAGCCTGTAACATAATGGTTACTTCTGTTTATTTTAAATAAATAAATAAAATTCCTGTTTTAAAAAATTGATTTCATAACACATTATACCTTTTTTTAATGTCCCCTGACATGTCACTACTGATTTAAATATAAGAAAACTTAGAGTGTTACTTTGAACCACGTTGTTACAAAATAGCTGCTTCATCACTCATGAAAGAAACCATTCTGCCCAACTAGCCTATGCTTCTATGAGAGGGATCTTGAGAAAAAACTATTTATTTTTAGTTTTGGCCATCATAGGCTTCACCCACCATTTCACAAAGACGGATAAAATGAATTTATCACTTTTGTTGTATTTGTCATTTCTTTTGGTTCCAAAAAGTATATGAGGTTTTGGAAACATTTTGAATTCTTAAGTCACAACTTAGTGAAAATAAAAAAGAGATCATTGTTAATACCACTCTAAACAAAATGCAAATATGTTTATATTTGTATTTTCATGCTTTTTAAAATTTAGCCAATACTCTGCAATATATTATGTATCTAATGTTCTCTCTCTTTCTCTCTCATATAACAAGGGTATTTCTACAAGTTCATGGAAATACTTGCATTATCTTTTAGTTCTAGTTTTCCACGAACTTATTGAAGTACCGTCGTAGATATATTGATTTTTAAAGTCTAAATAGGATGGACAGGGAGAAAAGTAATGGTACTGAATTCAACTGCATCTCTTTCTTTTGTAAATATATACTTTACCATAGAATTTAAGATCTTAACTAATATGTTTCAACAAACAAATGAAGTTAACAGCAACTAATATGAAAAAGTATTGAATAAACTCTTATATAGAAATGTCCTCAAGTCACAATGCTTTTTTTTTTTTACTATGGGATGGACCACATTTCATGTTTAATACTAGCTACATATACCCACTTTTTTGTTTGTTCGTTTGTTTGGCGGCTGGCCGGTAAGGGGATCTGAACCCTTGACCTCACCAGCACCATGCTCTCGCAAATGAGCTAACTGGCCAACCCATACTCACTTTTTAAGTAAATTTTATTTACCTCACCAAAATAGAAAATTGTCTTAGCCTATTTCAAAACTATCATAATTCCTGTTTATACATCTCAATAATAGAGTGATCAGCAAGACTATTACTAATATCTTAATAAACCTGACTTTTACTACATGGCTGAAATTCTATCAATGTTAGTTTTTATAAGAAGCTTATTTAATATACTTGTGTTTCATTTTACAATAGAAAACCTAATGCAAAATATTCTGTATTGTCATCTTTTTCAGTGTAAAATGTTCACATTATGCTTTTCAGGCTTTTCTTTTGACTCGTTTTCTACTACTATTTAATTAGGCTTTTACTATTTGCCATTCTCTTTTACAAGTTGGGCTATACAGCTTAACACATGTTAGAAATTAAGGTCCTGTTGAATATTAATTTCCAATTTGACAGCAGGGGAAAAAAATTGCTGAGGGACAAGAAGCAAAATTCTTTTCATCTCAAGACCTACTAACTTAAGCAGAAATGGATGTAGTTGATTCTTGTTATTTGGTTTGATGATTAGGTAGTCGATTACTGCTTTAGTGAAACTTTTAAGAGATCAGTTAAATATACTCTATTCTATGTCCACAGATCATACCCTAATCTGAGCCAAATGTATTGGAATGCTTGCCCAGTCTCAGGAAAGAGTGTGTGGCTGAATCAGCTAAAAAGAAAAAAAAAATGTATATCACCACCAATGTGAACCAAAACAAACAAAAACCAACAAAATCCCAAGATTTATTTAAGTCATTTTCATAGATGAAAGAAAATACATTAGAGTTTTCTAACTTTGTGGGGGACGAGGCTGTGTGTGTGTGTGTGTGTGTGTGTGTGTGTGTGTGTGTGTGTGTGCGTGTGCGCATAAAGTTCTCACCGATCATACATATTTTTGAAGTTTTGCTTTTTTTCAACTAACGGGTTCCATTTGGATACCAATAAATTTAGAGCATTTATATATCCCTATGTAGTCTCTGTAGTTATATATGTAAAATTCCTGTTATTGTATAAGGAGATTCAGCAGAACTTTTGAATTTATATTGACTTTCTTCATCCTAGATCTTACCAGGATGCCTATTTCTGGCGGTATTCATGGAAAAGATCTATGCTGTGAAAAGTACAGCATAATGTAGGTTACTACTAATAAAAATAACAATGAAGAAAGAAATACTTGCCTAGTACATGTAAGGTGTTTACTCATAGTCATCCACTAATAATTATTGTTTTCTCTGTACCTAACCTGTTATAGTATAAAATAAAATTAATTTATAAATTATAACTAAACTTTAGGGGCTTAAATTCCAAAGTGATTATTTAAAGTAATATAAAGATCAGAGATAAACAAGAGTATAAAGCTGGCCTTCATCAAAAATATTTCTTTTGTGATGTAAATATTCTATTGCATCTTTATTGTCAAATACTTTTTATTTATAGAATATGCCATATGAACATCTGAGCAAATGCCTATAAGATTCTTTACTCATTCCTAATATATGATTGTACTGAATTAATGTCTAATAACTTCTATTTGTAGAGTTTTTAGTTCTAATCTTTACATGCTTAGTTTTGTTTTCTCACCTAATAAATCTCTTTGGAACTTACTTCTGCTTGGGTGGCTCAACTTCCTGATGAACTATAATTTCCTGCTTTTTGAACTTCAGGTCCTCCAGGTACTGTAGCTCTTTTTCAAAAGCTGTATCTTAAATTAAAGCTTCAAATATGAAAACCAAACAAAATTTCTCCAGATGTAAGTCTCTGGTTTCTTTTCATTATTTTATAGAACTGCTGTCTTGGAACATATTTCAAAAGACAAATTGCTTATGTTGAAAACTCAGTTGTTAAAAATCTACTTGGACTATAATATGACAATAGGTAGTGATCTATATAGAGCTATAATAGTTCTTATTATTAGGTATCATCATTGTTTCAAATATAATAATATAAAATCTCTCTCCCCTTTTTATACTATTTTACATGAAATGGCAGCATTACAATTATCAACACTGTGCCAACTAAGGTGAATTCTCTAATCTTCAAAGTAAATTTTCTAAGTTTAAGGGCATGCTAGAATATGACATCAAATAGATCTCGCATGTTGCTCTTATAAAAATAATCACCTATGAACCTTCAACAATAAAATATGATCCTATTGTTGAGGGAATACTTGGGATGATTATATGACTCAGCCCCCAGATTCTAGTCAGTTATAGCATTATCTTCATTTAGCAGATGAGGACCCATGATGTTATGTGACTCACTTAAGTCGCACAGCTGATAGGTATTAGAGTGGGAACTTGCACGATACATTTAGTGTAATTGTTTTCCCACAAACACATTATTTTTTAACCACCTTGTTTCTTGGAGTGGTTCAGTCTTATAGAAACTTGGTAAGGTTAAGTATTTTTGCAGTGTAATATTTTCTTTTTGTAAAATCCTGGTTGGAATACTGAGAAACAAAACATAATAACAAAAAATAACAGTAATGTATTATTAAAACTACATGTAAAAGAAGGCAAAAATAAAATCAAAAGTATCCATATAACTGACTGTATTAATCCGTTTCTATTGCTTATAACAAAATACCTGGAACTGGGTTATTTGTAAGTAAACAAAATATATTGCTTACAGTTTTCAAGGTTGAGAAGTCCAAAGTCCAGGAAACACATCTGGTGAAGGTCTTCTTTGGTGGTGACTTTATAGCAACGCAGGGGTCTCGCATGGCGGAAAGTGGCAGAGCAAGAGACAGAGATAGCTCCTCATTCACTCTCTTTTTAAAGCCCTCAGAACCACGCCCACAACCACTGTTAAACCTTTCACTGTGGCAGGGTCCTCACAATAATCATCTCTTCAAGGCCCCAACCTTCAATTACCATAATAGGATTTCCCACCCTCAATATTACAGTGGGGATTAAGTTTTGGGGGGACATTCAATCCAAGGTACTGACATATTCAGTAATTAATCATTTTTAGGCATCATAGAAATGTGTAGTAATAATTCATAGTATGTTACAATAATGTAAATCCAAGTGTGGCTAATGGACCAATGGCAAAACACAAACTGTTATCAGTCTACAATGGAATTAGTACAAAGTTTGAGAATAAACATTTAGAAACTTTTATAGCAATTTGATATTGCAATTGTATTTTTTGAATATAACAACTAAAAATGTATGCTTTTATTTTGTATGTTTTGTGGTTTTTATTTCATATTTTTAGTAATTTTTATTGTTTGTTTTTTTGGTGGCTGGCTGGTATGGGGATCCGAAACCTTGACCTTGGTGTTGCAACATCACACTGTACCAACTGAGCTAACCAGGCAGCCCACATGAACCAGCAATTGTGTTAAAGTTCTGTTCGTTTGTTTTTTGGCAGCTGGCCGGTATGGGAATCCAAATCTGTGACCTTGGTATTATAAGGCTGCTCTCTAACCATATTGTATTTTATAACATGATGAGCTAGGAATTAAGAAAAGATTGGTCTTAGTCTTTTGGATATTAGCCATCCTAACTGGAGTGAGATGTTAACTCAGTGTAGTTTTGATTTGCATTTCCCGAATGCTGAGTGATGTTGCGCATTTTTTCATATGTCTGTTGGCCATTTGTATATCTTCCTTTGAGAAATGCCTATTTAGCTCCTTTGCCCATTTTTCAGTTCAGTTACTTGTTTTTTTGCCATTAAACTGTTTGTGTTCCTTGTATAGTCTGGATATTAATCCTTTGTCAGATGTATATTTTGCAAATATTTTCTCCCACTCTGTTGGTTGTCTTTTCACTCTGTTAATTGTTTCTTTTGCTGTGCAGAAGCTTGTTAGTTTGTTATAAACCCATTTGTTTATTTTTCCTTTGGTTCCTGTACTTTTGGGGTCATATTCATGAAGTCTGTACCCAATCCTACTTCCTGGAGTGTTTCCCCTATGTTTTCTTTAAGGAGTTTTATTGTTTCAGGGTGTACATTTAATTCTTTAATCCATTTCGAGTTGATATTGATATATGGTGAGAGGTATAGATCTAGTTTCATTGTCTTGCATATGGATATCCAGTTTTCCCAGCACCATTTGCTGAAGAGGCAGTCTCTTCCCTGGTGTGTGGACTTGTTACCTTTCTCAAAGATCAGATGGCTGTAGGTGTATGGGTTGATTTCTGGATTCTCTATTCTATTCCATTGATCCATGTGTCTGTTTTTATGCCAGTACTGTTCTGTTCTGGTTACTATAGCTTTGTAGTATAGTTTAAAGTCAGGTAGTCTTATGCCTCCAGCTTTATTTGTTTTGCCCAGAATTGCTTTGGCTATTCATAGTCTTTTGTTATTCCGTATTAATGTTAGGATAGTTTTTTTTTCCCATTTCAGAGAAATGTCATTGGAATTTTTATGGGTATTGCATTGAATTTGTAGATCACTTTGAGTAGTACGGACATTTCACAATGTTAATTCTTCTGATCCAAGAGCATAGGATATCTTTCCATCTTCTTGTGTCCTCTTTAATTTCTCTCAACAGTGGTTTGTAGTTCTCATTGTAGACATTTGTCACATCCTTGGTTAACTTTATTCTTAAGGATTTTATTTTTTTGGTGGCTATTGTAAATGAGCTAGCTTTCTTGATTTCTTTTTCTGCATGTTCACTGTTGGAGTATAGAAATGCTGCTGATTTTTGTGTGTTGATTTTGTACCCTGCAACTTTGCTGAAATCATTTATCAACTCTAAGAGTTTTTTTGTAGAGTCTTCGATATATAGGATCACATCATCTGCAAACAGGGACAGTTTGACTTCATCTTTTCCAATCTGGATGCCCTTTATTTCCTTCTCTTCTCTGATTGCTCTGGCTAGTATTTCCAACACTATGTGAATAGTAGTGGTGACAGTGGGCAGTCGACCATTTAATTATGTTGAGATACTTTCTATCTATACCTACCTTCTAGAAAGTCTTTATCATGCACGAATGTTGAATTTTGTCAAATGCTTTTTTAGCATCTGTAGAAATGATCATATGGTCTTTGTCTTTGATTTTATTGATGTGGTGTATCACATTTATTGATTTGCATATGTTGAACCAACCTTGTATCCCTGGGATGATTCCCACTTGATCATGGTGTATAATTTGCTGGTGAAGTTGCAGAGAAAAAAGAACCCTCCTACACTGTTGGTGGGACTGCAAAATAGTGCAGCCTTTATGGAAAATGGTTTGGAGATTCCTCAAACAATTGCAGATAGATCTACCATATGACCCAGCTGTTCCACTGCTGGAAATATACCCAGAGGAATGGAAATCATCATGTTGAAGGGATAGCTGTACTCCAATGTTTACTGCATTACTATTTACAGTAGCCAAGAGTTGAAACCAGCCCAAATGTCCATCATCAGATGAGTGGATACAGAAAATGTGGTATATCTACACAATAGAATTGTACTCTGTTATAAAAAAGAATGAAATACGACCATTCACAGCAACATGCATGGACTTTGAAAAAATTATGTTAAATGAAATAAGTCAGGTGCAGAAAGAGAAATACCACATGTTCTCACTTATTTGTGGGAGCTAAGAATAAATAAATACACAAAGAAATGGCGGGGGCAGGGAAGAAGACACAACAATCACAATTCCTTGAACTTGTTAAGACAAGTGAACAGATATGATGTTGATGGGTGGGAGGGGGGAGAGGGAGGAATCAGTGAAGGGACACGAAAATCAACTACATTGTACATTGATAAAAGAAAAAAAGAAAAAATTACAAAAAGAAAAGATCGGTCTTTCACCAGAAATAATTTGAGAATCACTGTTGTACAAAAATATGTTGAAAATCCTAAAGCTTGAGTTTTCACTCATTTTAAATGCATAATGCCAAAAGTATCTCTAATTCACTGTTAGGTTTATTATGCACAGGATTCTATCACTTGTTTACTAGAAAATAACAAGTTACGTATTTTTAAACTGTTTCAATACTTGTTATTACTGGTGTTGTATTAACTAGGCTTACATGGAGTACCAGGAGAGAAGGGGGATCCAGGACCTCCTGGGTTTGATGTTCCAGGACCCCCTGGTGAGAGAGGCAATCCAGGGATCCCTGGATCACCTGGTCCTATGGGACCTCAAGGATCACCAGGGCTTCCGGGAAAAGCAGGTGCCTCTGGATTTCCAGGTAATTTGTTTAAAGTTTTCTCTGATTTTGGATTCAGGAAATTAAAGCTAATATGCTCTGGTAGATTATACTCATGTTACACTTTTCTGGACTGACACTATTCCTTAAGGAAGAATGTTAAATTTCTTTGATTGCAGGAAACTCACTTTGCTATTTGCACTGCACTTTTTCTCTGTGAGACTTCCAGTTATAGATTCCTATGTAATAAACACCACCAAAACTTAATGGTTTAAATCAACCTTTTTATTTTGGTCAGTATTCTATGGATCAGAATTTAAGGGATGGCTTGACTGAGTCATTTATCTCTAACCCATATGGCCCCAACTGGAGTGGTAGGGGCTGAAGGATCCACTTCCAAGATGGCACTTCTCTGACACCTGGGTGTTCCTTGGCTCACATGGCATCTCATTGTCCATGGTGCCTCTTCACATGGCTTAGGGTCTTCACATTATGGTTATATCAGGGTAGTTTCTCTCCTTCCATGGCAGCTGGCTTCCAAGAGTAAGAATCCCAAAAGTCAAAAGCAAGTGTTCCAGGAGCCCTGAATAGAAGCTGCAAGACTTCTTATGATCTAGCCTTGGGAGTCTAACAGTGTCACTTAGTCAAGGGTAAGGCACAGAGTTAGCTCAGATTACAGGAGAGGAGGCTACACAAAGGTGTGTATACTGAGAAATATGGTTCATTGGGGGGCCATTTCTGGAGATTAGCTACTACAGTGAGTCTCTTTATTCATGGGTATTAGTAATAGTGGGCACTAAGGTTACAGCAGGTGAAAAGGGGTAAAACTTAAGAGTGCCTTCCCTCTAACCATCAGTAGTTTTCCAGTTGACATCTTAAAACTTATTTTTCATCTATCCAAAGTCAAAGACAGGCAAAGGTTACTTATTGATATTTTTCAAAGGTGCCAAGGGTGAAATGGGTATGATGGGACCTCCAGGCCCACCAGGACCATTGGGAATTCCTGGCAGAAGTGGAGTTCCTGGTCTTAAAGGTAATATGCAGAGTTTGTTGGCAAATGTGTGTGAGAGAGAAAATTAAACATTGATTTATGTCAATACAGCATATCTTTATTTCACTGCTTTAAAATAAGCAATGCTTAGTTGTGTTTTGTTTCTATGTGATATGGCACTTAAATAGGTCTTGTTTTCAATTTGGTGGCATGCTTAGTTTAGATACCATGAAACATGGTAAATGCTTGGCTCAAAATAACAAAATGTAAGGACTAAACTTTGAATTTTTTCTTATAGTTAGTCTCTATCATTGTCAAGGAATTTGAGAAGAAAGAGAAATTGTCATTTGAATGTAAAATTGTATTCGCTCAAGTGATTCACAGACGATAACTTAGATGCATAAATGTTTTGGGTGGCCAGCAGCCTACCAACTGTGAAACATATGAATAATCTTTATATGCATTAATCCTGGATGGATAAAAGTGATCTATTGTGTCTTCCCCACATATGTTGATTTTAGGTGATGATGGCATGCAGGGTCAGCCAGGACTTCCTGGCCCTGCAGGAGACAAAGGTGATAAAGGAGAGCCTGGCCTTCCAGGCCCTCCTGGACCAATAGATCCAGATCTGCTGGCCTCTAAAGGAGAAAAGGGGGAACCTGGCTTACCAGGTGAGTGAAAGCATTTATGAATGAATACTTTTTCTGGCGTATGTGAAGTTTAATTTATCAATAGCATGAAAAGTAACTTGTAATACAGAATTCACCAACAAAAGGCACTTAGATGCATCAAATTTTGGTGATGAATATTAATTTTCACTTGAGTCGTACTGTTACACTCATCAACTTTTGTTTATTTTCTTTGTAGTTTACCTATCACGAGTGAAGGTTTTAAAATAGACTTAGGCAGTCACCTTCAAGCCTTCCAGAAAGTAGTACAGGATGTGGTAGAGAGAAAAGGATATATGGCCACAATCACTTGGAAAACAGATTTTAGTGTTTAGAAAACTTGCTGGTCCTTTTCATTTTTTTTCCTTGAAGCCAGTTAGGGATGAATGGTGCATTGTTATACTACAGTGTTTTGATATCTATATCACACTTGGCTTTTAAGTACAATTCATTGTTACTTTACCTTGGCAGAATAAACAAGTATTGGACTATGAACAGCCAGGCTCAGCCTTGGGGGAAGTCATTGAAAGTAGGTCTAGGGAACAACTGTGTTATTATAATTATTTTATTAGAAGCAAATAAAGTGTGAAGTAGAATGTGGGTTTTGTAAATTTAAAAAATTATTTTTTCTTTTTATAGATGTATAACATGTTCATAACAAAACCTCATAAAACATGGATAAGCATAAATCAATATATAAACACAACCCAATCTATATAGAATAGCCTTTCAGACAATATGGAACTTTATAACTAGATATGTTTATTTGCAGCTTATAGTAAAATTTGTGACTGTTTTTGTGTTCTCGCCATTAATATTTTCAATCCAAGTGTACACGTGGGTGTGTATGTATTCATAGAGGTTATAAGTTTCCCTATGAGCAGGACTTGGTGGCATTTTTCCTCAAAAAAATGTAATGTGTTGCAGCTTTTTGTGTAGCCATGAAACAGGCAGGGCCTTCTAATTTTTTATCATTGCTGAAATGAAATGTCTTTCTTGGAACACACCTTTCAAGGCTTCTTTCTCTTTTAATTATGCTTTCTGTACAATAGGGGCGGTAAATTATACTTGACCTCTACTATAAGGTTATAAATATATTATAGGGTTACTATAGGGTTATAAAATAGTCATAGAATCTGAAAGATAGCCTAGGGATGATCTGTCCCAATTTCTTCATTTCACAGCATAAAGAACTGAAGCACATAAGGGAAAGTGACTTAATACTGAGGGCTCTGAATTTGTTGGTGTAGGTAAAAAAGAAGTGGGAGATTTTAGTATGAGTTTGGTGCTAATGATTCATACTATATCAGAATATCATCCGTTTCTCTATTTCACTTACAGTTCAAAACTTGGGTAGCTTGCTTTGCCAGATTCATTTAATTGATTAATGATATCAGCCTAACTTTTCACTTCTACTCATCCTTGGAAGGTATTCCTGGAGTTCCAGGGCCAAAAGGCTACCAGGGTTTGCCTGGAGAACCAGGACAACCTGGACTCAGTGGGCAACCTGGATTACCAGGACCATCAGGTGAGTATGATAGACAACCTGTAGCAATTGGATGGCTTACCCTGAACTCTGGAAAAATAATTATGTATTTATCATATTTGAAGTTGCTTTGGATATGTCATGATAATATGCTTGGAGCTCACCTTTGGCAAAAATGTTGCCATTTGACCCAAGTTTCAACAGACAAGATTTGTAGCATATTTTGCTTTGCTCATTTGGCTTCTGCATTTTGTAGCAGCAGGGTATATACAGAATCAGAAGTTACGATCCAAGTAAGGTGCTGTTCTTTTGTTGTTGTTTTTTTGTTTTGTTTTGTTTTTTGTTTTTGGCACCTGGCTGGCACTGGGGGTGCTGTGTTTTATTACATATATTGCAACATATTTCAATAAAACAATTATCTAGTAGGAGCCTGAAGAATTTACCTTTTTCAGTCTTTTGCCTTCAGACAAGTCAACCATTAAACTACGTAAAACAAATGGCTGCCAATTCTACTTTTTTTTTTTCCTTTTTGTCTTTTTTTTACTGACCGGTAACGGATCGCAACCCTCGGTGTCACGCCCATACTGGGGGACCGGCAACAGGATCACAACCCTCGGTGTTGCGCCCGTACCGCGCTCAGCCAGTGAGCGGGAACCGGTCCCCACATGGGATCTGAACCCTCGGCGGGAGCGCTGCCACACTCCCAAGTGGCACACTCTCCAGTGCGCCACTGGGCCGGCCCATGCCAATTCTACTTTAAACAATTTTTAGGGATGAAAATTTCATAACCTCCTTTGGTAGTCTGTTATATCATTAATCACCCTTTTTCTTTTCTTATTCCTAATAAAACTCTTTCTTACTGCTTCTTAAGCCATTTTCTTTTAGTTTGGCCCCTAAGGAAATAAAGAGCCATTGGTTCCTATTCTTGTAAGATCCCTTAAGCTCAGTGTTTGCTCTGGATTTCACACCACATTGCCTTGGTGTAGTTGGAAAGAAAAATTTCTTCCCCATCTCTCCCTCACATATTCTGCATTCTCTTCTCTCAGTTGGAGGTCAGTGTGAAAGAAAGAATTTTAAAAAAATGTTTAAGGCAATATTGTGGTCCTTGGAAAATGTGTAAATGACACCACAGAACTCAAGCACCTACATTCTAGGAAGAATGTGCAAACAGAGCAGCCACATCCATTGGGGTGACTGCCCACTACCTCTCCATCAACCCTTATCTCTCCCTGGCCTAATATTCTTAGGCTATATCATGACAGGTACCACCTTTCCTCTTCCTCTTCTCAGTCTTTACATGGGAAAGCCATTTTTGAATCTTTTAAAAACAGACTAACTATACTGGATTCATCTGTGAAAATACAGTAAGGGTAGTTATATAAATCCAACAAATAAAACTTCAGGTAATTGGAATTGTTTTAGTGCAAGAAGCAAGGTGTCCTAATAAAAACTTTTCATTTAGGAAATCTCTATTACCATGGTTTTATTGAAATATGTTCCTACGGAAATTACTTGGGTACCTTTGCCTGTTTTATGCTGAGTTATATCTGTGGACCTTAATCATATATTAAGATTTAATCCATTTAATCCCATGCTGACGTTTTAATTACTACCCATTCCAAGAAACCAGGCAACCTTAATATTGCTGACTTGTCTTAAATTTACCAACTTGACTTTTCTAGGTCCCAAGGGTAACCCTGGTCTCCCTGGTCAGCCAGGACTTATTGGACCTCCTGGACTTAAAGGAAACATAGGTGATATGGGTTTTCCAGGTGAGTGATGAAAATCTCCCATATATTTAGTCCCATTAATGAAAGGTGGCTCACTATCTTTTTAATCAGAAAAGAAACTAGTGTTGATAGAATCAGGCTGAGACAATATCTAAGTTGGGTAGAGCTATCAGTGGGTAGAGCTCACTCATTACACAAATATTTGAAGTGGGAATTAAGGGGCTGAGATTTAGAAACCATAGACATTAGAATTTACAAACACCTCCGTTCTCCAATTTTACCCCTTTCATTTAAACTTTTTTTAAAAATAGGCTTTTATATAATCCTGGTTGTGAAGCTTATTATTATATAACTCAGAGTTTGCAGTGTTTTTTTAAAAAGCCTTTTTGCTTGATCCTTTGCACCTTAGTTATGCCATGAATAAAAATATTTTGTAAAATATTATATATTATGTATTTTCAACAGGCCCTCAGGGTGTAAAAGGGCTCCCTGGACCTCCTGGAGTTCCTGGACAACCTGGCTCCCCAGGAGTACCTGGACAGAAAGGAGGCAAAGGTGATCCTGGTGTTTCAGTCATTGGTCTTCCAGGCCTTCCTGGCCCAAAGGTAATCATACTCTATGCATATGCTTGAGCAGATGTGATTTTTCTTTAACAATGGGCTTGTTCCTAATTCTTCATTGAACTATAGAATGACATGGTGTTTTCTGGGTAAGAGTTTTGCTCCTTCTCTTTTTTCTTTGACTGTAGGAAGATATGTTTTAAGGTTTGTGGCGGAGTCCATAAAAAGAGAAAAAAAAAACTTTCTGGTTTCTTTGTTTTTCTTCTATCTTAATCTCTGAGTATATTTCAGTAAACTAAAGGCAGAGTTCTGCCTGGTTATAGTTTTCCCTTTTTAGTAATGGAGTTGCTGGTCTTTGTCCTAATATTATTATTAACTAATTTGAAAAGACTTATAAACAAAATAAGCAGTTAATAAAAGTGTAGTTGTATTCCTAACTGCCTATCTGAGGTAGTTCTCTAAATACAGTTTTTGCTTACTGGGTACAGAGTTTATGTTTAGGATGACAAAAATATTTTGGAATAGAGGTAATGGTTACACAGCATCGTGACTGTTATTAATTCCATACAATTATATGTTTACACATGCCTAAAATTGAAATTCTTATGTTATATATGTTTACTACAATAAATGAATAAATAAATAAGTACTGTTTTACATTTCCCTCTACTTTCCTAGTCAGCATGAAAACTTTGGTAGTATTTCTCAAGTAATCAAATTTAGAGATTGTTTTAAAATTGGGCTGGCCAGTTAGCTCAGTTGGCTAGAGTGCAGCCTTGTAACACCAAGGTCATGGTTTCAGATCCCCGAACCAGCCAGTCATAAACAAAAATTTTAAAAAAGAATCATTGGACTGAACAAGAATTTATTGACAACTACTTATTAGTTTGAAGTAAAAATGTAGTAAATAACACTCTTAATCATATAGTCAGACCACAGAGCTCAGGTCTATTAGAAAAGGAACTGTGGTACTCAACTTGCATTGAATTAGTGAAAATTCCCCCTGAAATAAGAATTTACTGAATTACATTTTAAAGATAATTTCCTTATACAAAAAAAAGTATTGTCCAGTTGGTCACCTCATAAGAGATAAGAGAAGTTTCTGCCTATTAATTCCAGTTTAACAATGTAAAGGTTTTTGAAGTGAATTTTAATTTTTTTCTATTATAGTTACCTTTACCAGTAATACATACTTTTATTAAAAAATAATACTACAGACATATAAAGAATAAAAGTGAAAATCTTCGTACCCCATGTCCCATCCTCTTTTTACCATTCCCTTCCTCATAGAGAGAGGCCAACTGACAATAGTTGGTGTATAAATTTGAATTCCTTGTTCTGCACATTTGCATATATGCATATAGAATTTTATTTTTTCTACACATTGTATATATGTAGAGTCAAAGTATACACACTATTCTGTACCTTGCTTTATCACTTATATCTTTTTTTTTCTTTTTAAATATTTCTTGGACATTTTCCATGTCATTTTCCATTGCATCTGTGGACATATATATAATTATTTGTACTGGATAGCTATCTAAAAGTGAAATCTCTAGGTCAAAGGATTAGTGTGTTTAAATTTTTGCCTTTTAAAGTTTTTATAATAGCGATATATGAGCTTGATTTTAAAATACAACCAGCATGGGCTTTCAGTCAAGATGGTGGAATAGAAGGTCTCCAGCATCACTCTCTCCCACAAATCAACCAATTTACAATTATTAAAAAGCAATGACAGCCAAACTGTGGCTGCTAGAGCTCAGGGGAAGAGGAGGAGAGACCCATGGAGTTCATGAAGGAAGGAGAAGCCACGATGAGAAAAAGAAAGGATCACTCCCACCATTTCGAGCCCCGGCTACTTCAAGGCTGGAGCTGGTGAGCACATAGAACAAGAGCTGGCAAAAGCTGCAGCTGTGTACCTTCGTATGAAGTTGCTTGGAGGCTGCAGGGGAGAAGAGAGCCTAGATGGCCCCCAGGCCAACAAGACTACTAACAAGTTTCCCATGGACCCACAAAGGAGTGAGGAGCCATAGACAACAGAAAAAAGGAGCCACTCAGCAGCTGATGAGTCATCACAAAGGACTGGTGCATGGCCTGTCCCATGGAAAGTGTTTGGAGTGTGGGCAGTGGTGGACACAACCACACTGGGGAAACACTGGGGCACAGCATGGACAGCTGATCTGCCCTTCAATCAGCATAGGACCACTCAGTGGAGACTGGTCAGAAATATAGAACTGCAGGGGGTGCAGTTTGCTGAAAAGACTCAGGCCCAGAACAAAGTTTCCACACAACCTAGGTGTGCCAGACCTCATGAGACATACAAGGTCAACAATTAAAACCTGAGCTGCACAAAAAGCCTTCCCCAGGGAATCAGCAGCAATGAAGCAATTTTGCTTAGCTCAACTACAGTGCTCAAGTGCTGGTCCCTCAGGAAGTTCTCCTATTTTACAAGTAAGCAAAGAACAACAAGTTAGTTCCAGTGCAGAGTTTAAGTGGTGGGAACAGTGTATAATCCAACACAGAACTGAAAGAAAAAACAAAAGACCCACAGATCACAGTTCCAGTATTAACTAGTAAATGTCTAATACCACCAAAGAACACCTATAAAACCTAGAAGGACTGGAAGCCCCTGGGTTCCCAACCAGGGAGGGTGGAGGACCGAGGGCCTCAGCACATCCTTAATCAGCTCAGTAATGACCAACGAGCTACCACAGAAAGCGTTCTGAGCTCCTGAGCCAGGGCGGTGGGGGGCCAAAGACCTTAGCCATGCACCCCCGATATCCGCAACCAGCCCAGTGATGACCACTGAGCCACTGCTGGTAGCACCCAGGCTCCCTAGCTGGGCTGGTGGGGGACTGAGGGCCTCAGCCAAGCACCCCTGACATCTGCAACCAGCCCAGTGACAACCACCAAGCCACTACAGGAAGTGCCCCAGGCTCCTGACCTTCAGCCATGCCCCCCTGACATCTGTAACCAGCCCAGCAATGACTTGGCCCATTCTGGAAGCCTCCTGATCTCCTCTGCTTGAATGAGGGGGGTACCATGGGCCTTGATATGCTCCCCCTCCTTCCTCCTGTTCCCACCCCATCTCTTCCCCCTTTCCCTCTCTCTCACACCCCCAACTGCTCGGCAACAACATCTTAGAATCAGGCATGGAGACACGGGAAGCTGAACTCTGCCACAACTAGGCAAGCTGCTGCCACCGCGCTGGGGCCCCACTGGGGTTCTGAGGCATGGACCTGGGGAAAGCCAACCCAGCCATAACCACGTAAGGAGCACACCAAAAACATCATTTCCATACATGTAGCCCACCATAGCCACTGCAGTTGCCATGGCTGTCACAAAAATGGCTAGTCTCTATAGCAACAGTCACAGCCACTGTGCAGATGGCACACTAGACTCTCAACTGCATTGACACAAGGAGAGACACCAGTGGAGACCAAAAAAAAAAATTATCTCCATAGAGCACATACCAGTGTACTAGAAGAAGCACCTGATTTACTATAATAGGGGAGGACTTGATCACACCTGTCTCTGTACTGGACAGATCATCTAGACAACAAACCAACAGAGGAATAGTTACTCTATCTGAAGGAGAGGACAAATCTATGGTTATTAGAAGGGAGAGGGGAAAGAGAAGGGGGAAGAGGGAGGGGGGAGATTGGATAAGGGGCATAAAGAATAAGAATGACTTGTAACAATGAATATGCTATTAAAACATAAATTAAAAAGTATATAAAAATAAAATAAAATAAAATACAACCAGTATGAAAATATGTAAAATGTGAAATTTTCTTTCTACATGTTCACAAACCCCAAATCACCAGTTCTTCTTCACCATAGTAACCACTTTTAACAGTTTTTTATGTACTCTTCCAGAAAAGGTTTTTAATGCATATGTGAGTGGTCTTCAAAAAGTTCATGGAAAGATTCATATTATCTTTCAATTCTATTTCATGGGAAAGATCAGGAGCCTAGTTTTCTAATTGTTTATGTTTTGTCACTGAAATAGGAAGTACATCAATTTAGAGGGAGGAGGGAGAAAGACATACTCAAGGCTTGAGGCCTGACTTATGAGTTTTTGGGTTTTTAAAAAAGTTTTCTACTTATGAAGATTTCCACATTCTAATATTATAAAAATAGATTTATATATTTCTTCCAGTATTTTTATGATTTAGCTTTTTATATTTACATACTTAATCCATCTGCATTTCTTTGTCTGTTGTGTGAGGTGAGGAACTCAATATTTTTCCAGTTGGCTCAACACCACTTTTTACAAATTCCATTCTTTACTCACTGATTTAAAATTCCATTTAGGGCCGGCCCAGTGGCACACTGGATAGTGCGCCACTTGGGAAGCGCGGCGGCACTCCCGCCCGAGGGTTCGGATCCCACATACAGACCGGTTCCCGCTCACTGGCTGAGCGAGGCACGGGAGCAACACCGAGGGTTGCGATCCCGTTGCCGGNAAAAAAAAAAAAAAAATTCCATTTAAAAAATATTTTTAATTTGTTTATACATATTTTTTCTAGAATGAGTGAATTTTAACATTTGTGTAATGGAACCAAAATGGTCATACTAAATCTCTGAATTTATAATGGATGGTAGCAGAAAAACATGTTTCAGTTGGCAAAAGTCCAAGGTATATCCAACTCTTCAGGCACATGGCTAACTTCTAGTTTTTCTATGTGGCCTACAAGTATATTTCTATAAGAAATTCTACACTAAATTTGGAAACTTACAGAGCTGATAAAACAAGGAAATAATATAAAGTAGCCTGTTGTTTCTTTTGAATGGTATTATTATATTTTAGAATGGCGACAAATTGAAAAATAAGGTTTTATAGCTCAGTTCTATGAGGCACAGGCAATCCTTGCTTTGTACAGTTCTGGTATGCACAAATTTCAGTTACCATGACTTACTTAAATAATACCAAACCACAACAACATGGTTAAAATTTCAGTTACTATGGTATATTAACTCTTAAGTCCATAAATCACCATGTAAATAACAGATGTGCATTATGATCAGTGAGGAGTCATTTC